GGAAACAAGAAAAGGATGTCTAATTTCACTGTTTTTGTTCAACATAGTATTGCAAGCCCTGGCCACAGCAAACAGGCAAGGAAAAGAAATAAAAGGCATCCACATTGGAAGGGAAGAAGTAAAACTGTCATTATTTGCAGATGACATGATATTATAAAAGAGAATCCTAAAGATTCCATCAAAAAACTATTAGAACTAATACATGAATTAGTTAAGGTAGCAGGATACAAAATTAATATTCAGAAATCAATTGCATTCTTATACACTAATAACAAAAAATCAGAAAGAGAAATTAATCACAAAGAATAAAATACCTAGGAATAAATTTAACCAAGGAGGTAAAAGACCTGTACTCGAAAAAGTATAAGATATTGAAAAAAGAAATTGAAGGAGATATAACTAATATAAGAATATACTGTGCTCGTGGATAGGAAGAATTAACATTGTTCAAATGATCATACTACCCAAAGCAGTCTACAAGATTCAGTGCAATCCTTATCAAAATACCAATGGCATTTTCACAGAACTAAAACTGGTAATCCTAAAATTTACACAGAACCACAAGAGGCTCTGAATAGCCACAGCAATCATGAGAAAGAAGAACAAAGTTGGAGGTATCATGCTACCTGATACCAAACTATACCACAAGGATATAGTAATTAAAACAGCATGGTACTGGCATAAAAACAGATACATAGATCAGTGGAACAGAATAGAGAGCCCAGAAATAAACCCATGCCCCTATTGTCAATTAATCTATAATGAAAGAGGCAAGAATATACAATAAAGACAGTCTTTTTAATAAATGGTGTTAGGGAAACTGGACAGATACATTTAAAAAAATGAAACTAGACTACTTTGTTACACCATACACAAGCATAAACTCAAAATGGGGTAAAGACTTAAATATTAAGACCCGAAACTATAAAACTCCTAGAAGAACACAGGCAGCAAACTCTGACATTGCTCTTAGTAATACACACACACACACACACACACACACACACACACACACACGTGTGTGTGTTTATATCAACTCAGGGAAGGGAAACAAAAAATAAACAAATGGGACTACTAAAAGTTTTTGCTCAGCAAAAGAAACCATCAACAAGATGAAAAGACAACCTACTGAATGGGAGAAGATATTTGCCAGTGATACATCACTAATCCTTAGAGAAATGCAAATCAAAACCACAGTGAAATATCACCTCACACCTGTCAGAATGGCTATGAGCAATAAATCAACAAACGAGTGTTGGTGAAGATACGGAGAAAAGGGAACCCTTGTGTATTGTTGGTGGCATTGTAAATTGGTGCAGCTGCTGTGGAAAACAGTATGGAGGGTCTTAAAATTAAAAATATGACTACCATATGATGTAGCACTTGCACTTGGTATTTATCTGAAGAAATTCAAAAAGTTACATGCACCCTTATGTTAGCTGCAGCATTATTTACAATAGCCAAGATATGGAAACAACTTAAGTGTCCATCGATAGACAAATGAATAAAGAAGAGGTGGTACATATATACAATGGACTATTATTCATTCATAAAAATGAACGAAATCTTGCCATTTCTGACAACATGGATGGACCTAGAGGGTATTATACTAAGTGAAATAACTCAGAGAAAGATAATTACCATGTGATTTCACTTGTATGCAGAATCTAAAACACAAAATAAATGAACAAAACAGACTCCTAGAAACAGAGAACAGATGGGAGGAGGGTTGGGGAGATGAGTGAAAACAGTGAAGAAATTAAGTACAGATTTATGCTTCCGCTCAAGAGGGTGGAATAGGTAAACACTATGCTTGCCTCTTCTCACAACCACATCAAAATTACAACTAAACTACAGAATGGCCATTATCAGGAGTTGCCAGGGGTCTCGCTAAACAGAGCTCCTACATACCTCTTGCTGAGCAGCCTCAAGCCCAGTGGCAGCCAGCCTCAGTTTGCAGCTTGGCCTCTTGAGGCACTTCTAAGCCCAGCATGGGTGGTGGCCATATGTGGATTGCTTGGTGGCTCATGCCAGGTGACCCCAGGCAGGGTGCAGGCTGCAGATGAACTTGGCCTGTGGCAAGGTCCCTCCCAGGAGACCCCAGCCTGCACACTTTGTGGCCAGCTCCAGTCTGAACCAGAGTATCACCTGGGGTCACATCTGAGGACAATACACCCAAAATGCAGACTTGGAAGTCACCAGAGCCCTGCTAAAGCAAATCCTACTCAGAAGGGTCAGCCCCTGCAATTTAGCTCTTCCAATGGTCATGGTCAGTCATCACAACCAATCAGCCTGAGGGTCAATCCCTCCCATTGACAAACAAACAGCAGCCAAGGCTCAACTATAACAAGAAGGCATACACAACCCATACAAGGGACATAACCTGGAGCACCAGACTCAGGTGACCAGGGAAGACTGTGCCACTGGGACCCTCAGCACATGTACTAAGACCACTCTACTAAGACCGGTAGACATAGGAGCCTTACCTAATATATAGAAACAAACACAAGTAGGCAGCCAAAATGGGAAGACAAGAAACATGTCCAAAATGAAAGAACAGAACAAAGCTCTAGAGAAAGAACTAAACAAAATAAAGACAAGCAGTCTACCAGATGCAGAGTTCAAAACACTTGTTATAAGGATTCTAAATGAACTCAGGGGAAGAGTAGATGGAACTCAGTGAGAACTTTAACAAAGAGATAGAAAACATAAAAGTGGAAACAAATTATAAAAAAGAACCAGTCAGAAATGAAGAATACAATAACTGAAATGAAGAGTAACTAAGGAGGGGTAAACAGTAGATTAGATGAAGCAGGGGATCGAATCAGTGATTTATAAGATAAAGTAGTAGACAATCCAGTTAGAACAGCAAGAAAAAGAATCCAAAAAAAATCAGGATAGTTCAAGGGGCATCCAGGACAACATCATGCATACCAACATTCACATCAAAGGGGTACCAGAAGGAGAAGAGTGAGAGCAAGAAATTGAAAACCTATTTCAAGAAATAATGACAAAAAACTTCCCTAACCTGGTGAAGGAGATAGACATACAAGCCCAGGGAGCATAGAGAATCCCAAACAAGAGGAACGCAAAGAGGCCCACGCCAAGACACATCATAATTAAAATGCCAAGGGGTAAAGACAGAGAATCTTAAAAGCAGCAGGAGAAAAAGTTAGTTACCTACAAGTTTGCTCCATAAGACTGTCATTTGATTTCTCAATAGAAGGGATAGGCAGAAATATTCAAAGTGATGAAAAGTAAGGACCTACAACCAAGATTACCCAGCAAATCTTTCATTTAGAATTGAAGGACAGATAAAGAGCTTCCCAGACAAGAGAACGCTAAAGGTGTTCATCACCACCAAGCCAGTATTAAAAGAACTGTTAGAGGGACTTGTTTAAAAAGGATAAAAAGATTAAAAATATGAATAAAATGGCAATAACTACATATCTATCAACAAACTATTTCAAATAAAAAAGGATTAAATGCTCCAATCAAAAGATGGTGGCTGAATGGATAACAAAACACATGTGCTGCCTACAAGAGACTCAATTCAGACAGACACACACAGACTGAAAGTAAAGGGATGAAAAAAGAAGTTGCATGAAAGTGGAAACAAACAAATGAAAAGCTGGGGTAGCAATAGTTACACCAGACAACACAGACTTTAAAACAAAGGTTATAATGAGGCAAAAGACCCAGTTATCTCACTTCTGGGTATTTATCTGAAGGAACTCAAAACTCCACTTTGAAGAGACATGTGAATCCATACGTTCATTGCAGCATTATTTACAGTAGCCAAGATATGGAGGCATCATGGGTGTCCATCAATGGATAAATGGATAAAGAGGTTACACACACACACACACACTGGATTATCACTCAGCCATAAAAAGAATGAAATCTTGCCATCTGTAATATGGATGGACCTAGAGGGTATTGTGCTGAGTAGAGTAAGTCAGATAAAGATGTCATATGTGGAATCTAGAGAACAGGACAAACAACAGAATCAAGCTCATAGATAAAGAGAGCATTTTGACGGTTGTCAAATTGGGTAGAGGGTGGAAAGGAGAGGGGATTAAGAGGTACAAATTGGTAGTTACAAAATAGTCATGGGAATGTAAAGTACAGCATCAGGAATATAGTCAGTAGTACTATATTTATCAAGGTGATCACTTCGTAAGTTATATAAATGTCTAATCACTGTATTGTACGTACACCTGAAACTAATATAATGTATGTCAACTATAATTGAAAAAATATGTAATAAAAAAGTCCAAATGGCAGTTACAAAACAGTCGAGGGGGAGTATAGTATAGGGAATATAGTCTGTAATATTGTAATAACCATGTGTGGTGTCAAATGGGTACTGGACTTATTGGGGATCACTTCTGTTATGTTTAATCACTGTGTTGTACACCTGAAACATGTCAACTGTAATTGAAAAATAAATTTAAAATATATCAAAAAATTTTATGTGCACATGGAAAAGAATGGAAAAGACAAAGGAAACAACTGTAGACCAAAATGACAACAGTTGGGTGTGTTAATGTGATAGTATTAGGTGGAGTTTTTTTTCTACTTTGTTACTGTTTTAATATTGCTTTTATAATATAGATTTCTCACCAAGTTTACAATGCAGCATTTATTTCTACTTTGTAAGGATACAGGTTACTTTTAATTTTGACCATTATCTGAGAGCCTTCTATAAATTATCTTAGTGCTTCTAAGAAAATTATACTACTCCCTGCCTTTTCACTTCTAATGAAGTCCTTTCTTAGAGCAACATGCAGTCACTTAGCTATAAGAGCCTCAGCAAAGCACAAATAGCTGCATTAGCTTTTCAAAATTATCCTTAAGGAAACATAATTGATAGGCAATTCTTGTCGATTGTCTTAAATTTTTTTGATTTAGAACCATCTACTTTATAATCATAAAAGTACAACAATGTGATTTCAAAAATCTGAGACGCTAATTTTTTTTTTTTTCTTTTTTAATAGCTCCCAACAATGGTAACCAAGGTATGTCAGCCTGGTTCAATCTATTTGCAGACTTGGATCCACTTTCAAACCCAGATGCTATTGGACACCCAGATGATGAACTTCTTAATGCTTGACTGAAATTATGATGTCACTTTAATGGTCTTGAGACATCGATTTTGCAACATACTGCCTTTGTGGAAAGTTTATATTGTAATTCATACACAAAAGCATGGTGTTTGTGAATATAACACTTGTCAGCCAACCTTAGACAGATGGTAAGGACTACCTTTGAATAGATTGTCTTTTTAATATCTTAGATTTGCGGCTGTTGATAATATGTGGAAAGTATTAGAAACTATTGAGTCTGAAATAGATACAATTTATTTTGAAATAACAGCTAGGAATAATTGTCAATAAGGAGTTGGGTTTATTTCTTTGGAAAGCCTTTCATGTATAAGTTTCCTTGCTGGCTGTGAGAATTTTCTATGTGGGTAAATGACAGAATGTAAATTGGGTTGTGATTTGGGGTTGGTTTTTAAATAAAACAGTGGCAAGAGGCATTTTCTGTTGTGAAAACAGTACTAGAACCAGACCAGTTTTATCTTTAGTTAGAAAGGTAGAATAACATTTGAGAACTCAATTTGCTTTAAAGAAACCACAGAGAAACTTGGTGCTTATTTTCTCCACTTGGAGGCTAAAATGTACTATTACTCATTTTTTTCTTTCATAGAAAATCATAGATACCCCTTAATTCCATTATCAAATTTTCATGGGGAAGTAGCAGGATAATTTATTTGCAAAGTCCATCCTCCATAGAAACAGAAAAGTCTGTCTTCCCATCTCATAAACTACAAGAATGTCCAGTAACATTCAAGACATTGTACAGGTGTTGTCAGGTCTGATTTTTCATAGATACGGTAATATGCAGTATTCATATTCTTCCTGAAATGGAGGGGAGGACAATAAACAATTGACAATAGTATTCCTGAAATTACCCAGAAACTGCTATCTGAATGAGGGAGAAATTCTAAACACCTTATACTTATATATATTTGCATACTTACCCCATATTTCTTGATGTGATTTAACCCAGAATACTTTCTGGCAGAGTTACAAAAAGCTCTACAAGATCAGTAATGGAGTGTCTTATTTTTTTCCACTTTTCACTTTCTTCAGGTGACAGCATCTGAAGCTCTGTTTGTTTACTAAAGAAAACCTGTTACCCATAGAGGGTTTTGAATCTAAGTTAGAGGGAAGGCTATTTAATTGAAATTAGTGTAAGCTAATGAAAACGTAGCCACTACATATACACATCAATTACTCGATTTTCTGTTAGTCTTTCTTGCCCACCTTTTCGTTTTGAAACAGTATTCCCAGTATCTTACTTTTGTCGTTCAATTTATTTCATTTCTGTAAGAAAACATTTTAACTTTGTTATTCATGGTAGTTTCCATCTACTTAGCTTTAAACAAGCTTATTATTTACAAGAGAACTGCTTGTAATGTCTGTGCCAATGTATATAGAAAGACATTTTTTAGGAATGGACGGACCCGAGTAGGTAAAACGCAGTCCACTTTGCATCCATAGCAGTCTGGCCTAACTGAAATCTGAACTGTCTGCAAGCTTCAGAAAAGCACTACTATGGCCAAGTACGGCATAGGCTGGAAAGACCTTATCTGAGGGTCGGAAACATGGACCTAGGAAGTCTTTCTTTAAAATCTTTTCACATGCTTATTCCTATTTATTTGGTTATCCCTTCAGAAGCATTTTTTAAGTCTTCTTTTTCATTCAGTGAAATTCCCTAGAACGCAATACTGTCTTTGTTCTGCCAAGATCCAATCACGAGTTATGATTATGATTGATGATCTAAATACTACACCCATGGTGATTCTGCTCTCAACTTTGAGTACCTCAGAAAATGCTGACCTTGTCAAGTTTGTCTCATTTTTATTAGTTTCTTTCACTAATGCATGAGTTCAAAACTATTTATCTCCCTTGCATGCAAAGCAGTCGTTATCTCATATAAACAAAAACACCACAATACAAAGAAAAACCACTGGTCTCGTCAAGCCAGAAATCCGAATCCCAGATTCTGAATGTGAAGGGATATGGCCCTCAATTTTCCAAGAGCAAATGTTCTCAAAAAATAGAAACATACGAGAGATTTTTATTTAGTTCTTAGTATCTCTAACATTTTCTTTCAACAAAGTATGTACTTGACCATTTACCCCAAATTCAAAATTAACTGCCTTAGCAAGTCTAGTTATAACTTCAGCAAGTCTAACAACTGTTTTTGAAGAGCACATTGAAAACTTAGTTAAAATGAAGGTAACCATTCATACTTTCTCAAGGTTTGTTATTTGAAACTCATTCATTAATTTAGGGGCCAGAAACAGAAATCTGACTATTATTACACCTAGATTACTAATATAGGAAACCAACCACATATTCAATAGGGAGTAAAGGACAGAATAAACACAGAACAGAAAGGTGACCAGTTGCTATTTGTCTAAATCTAGATCTTCCATTCAGTAAGAAATATATTAACCTTAACCAAGAGTAGGCTGAGAACAACTCTTTCAAAATAAATACTTATTTATTGAGTGGGTGAAATACCTATCTTCTACTTTTTTAATACCAAATAAGAATACATTTAAAAAGCCCCAGAACTAAATTTGCCTAATCTACCACTTTACAAGAGAGGCAGGAATACTAGAGTATATTAATATCAGATAGGTATAACTTTATATTTTTGAAATCTTTCATTAATTGTAAAGCATAGCTCTGTTTTTGTTGGAAACAAACTGTATTTTAACAAAATAGGTTTCAGCATTTGCACAATGATGAATTTGTATTTCAACCATGGATATTTATTTCACATAATTGTCTTTACAGACCATCTGGAAATGCAGAGGTCTTACAGCATAAGAACAAAGGAAGTTTGATTGTGCTCTGTTTTTGAGCCTCTTTTAATAAAGATTACAAGATGACGTGAACAAAAGTTTATTTCCTAAAGTATTCGATACAAATCCAATTATTGTTTCCTTATTTAAAAACTTGGGTTTTACCTTAGAATCTTAGTAGCGAGAAGGTAGTTTGAATTGAAAATAGATACCACAGAATGAAAATAAAACCAGAGCAATTAATATCCTTGTGAATCTGGATTCTAATTCTTACATAAGATATGAGAAATAACAATGTGTATTCTCTGTGTACTCTCAGTAACAAAATACAAATTGTCAAATATCAAATTTGTGAGCCTAGAAGCAATAACCAATGAAATATAAGCCATAATATTTAACTTGGATTCCTGAAGGCAGGAATAAAAAGAATAAAGTCAGAACTGATCCAGTGTATTGGCAGGGCCCTGCATTCCCTTACCTTGAGCAATGAAGCCCCCGAATCTTCGGATGTAGATGCATTTAAAACGTACAATGTGAAGTTGTTTAAATATTTAAGGAAAACTTATGTGACAGGATTGGTCACATCCATAATCCCAACATAAAATATCTTCTGTATTTTAAGTGCCATTTAAATGGAGACTAAAGAGTTCAATATTTAAAACTGTCCTTGACGTTTAAAATGAAGTCATGGTTCTTCACTCAGTGTTGTAAATAAACTGTTCAATGTACAAAGAGGCAATACAAAAAGGCGATAAGGTTTTGGTGGTGTTAATAAATATGAATTTGAAGTGCATTGTTTTTACATTAAAGAAAGTTTTCTTTTTTCCCATTACAAAGTAATACTCTCTCATTTAAAAGTCTGAAAAACACTAAAAAGTAGAAGAATAAAACATCCACAGCTGTACCAACCAGGAATAACCACTGTTAACATTATATATTGTTATTTTGTAGTGCTTGTCACATACGACTTAAATTTGATCCTCGTGATTTCATTCTACTGTCTTCTCTGTCTGAAATGGACATACCAAGGTATTGAGATTGAAATTACTTTTGTCTTTTCTTTAAAAAGGTTAAAAAAAAAACCCAGCAAAAATGTGAATCACTCTGTTCTACCCATATTAAAGAAAATATTTCTTTTGACTTTGTACAACTATGGCAACATTAAAATCCAGAGTTTGAGGATTTGTGTCACTAACTTCCTTGGTCAGGAACTGGCGTCTAACCAGCATGCTTTCTCTTTGCCCTCTGAACCAAGCTGCCAGCAGTTGAAGCAATGAAGTCGGAGAACAAACAAGGCAGTGGCCCAATGTCACATAATCTGCAATGATACTGAAAACCTCTATTTTATTAATTTCACTGTTACAGGACAAATACCAGTAAGGCTCTGTGGTTAATGTCTGAGTTCTAGAGTCGGTCTTGGTTCAAAGCCAGACTTTGACATTTCCCAGATGTATGACCATAAATTATTTAATCTAATTCCCATTTCATCATATATAAGATAGTAAAAAGATAGTAAAACCTGGCTTTATCGGGGTTATTATAAAGATTAGGGTATACAGTAACATATAAACTGTCTGGCACTTGGAAAACTTATCAGTGTTACCTATTTTTATTGATTTCAGCTCAACAGCCTTGACTATTTTATACTTTGTGAGCTGAATTCTATGGGATCATTTTCTATGACTAAAAACTTATGGCTTTCCTAAAGAATGAATAAAATAACCTAACAAAGTAAGATGTATTTGCTTCCAGTTTTATAAGTCAAGCTATTTTCACATTTACTAACCATTTACCTGACAGCACTATCATCAGCATTTCCTTCATCACATAAACAGAAAACTCCGGTTCAAAGAGGTGACTTCTTTACCCAATATCCCATGACCATTAAGCTGCAGACCCAGAACTAGTACCCAAATTATGGCTCTAAATCCAGAGCTTTTCTGCATCTCCCCTGAATTATCCCAATGATCTAAAAAATAAATGCTTAACATGTGGAATTGAGATGAATGCTTATACTTCTGGTTTTTAACTGAGAGCCTCCATAATAGTCCTCTATAAAAAATGTTTAGGACAAATCCATGCTAGTATATAAAATCAAAGTTAAGAGTATATGGAGATAAATCCTGGAGAAGATGCAAACTCTTGAAAAGTATTTATTTTTTACAAAACCAGCAATTTGGAGATACTTATTAATGGGATGTAGAAACAATGTCTTAAAGACTAGTCTCATCTGTGTTAAGATACCAGACTAACCCAAAGGTACCTACACAAAAGCTGTTCCTAACAGTATTTTTCAAATCATTTTATTTACAACCTACAGTATAAGTACATCTTGCTTTACAACCTAGTATGTGTATAGTCAGGTGTTACTTGAGAGGAATGCATTCTGAGAAATGTGTTTAGGTGATTTTGTCATTGTGCAAACATCAGAGTGCACTTACACAAACAGATGGTATGGCCTACTCCACACCTAGGGTCTATGGTATAGCCTATTGCTCCTAGGCTACAAACCTGTACAGCATGTTACTGAATACTGTAGGTAACTGTTAACAGAATAGTAAGTATATATAAAAATACAGTATGTATAAAAGATAAAAATGTTACACCTATATAAGGCACTAACCATGAATGGAGCTTGCAGGACTAGAAGTTGCTCAGGTGAGTCAGTGAGTGAGTGATGAGTGAATGTGAAGGCTTAGGACTACTGTGCTCTACTGTGGACTCTTTATAAACACTGCACACTGAAGCTACACTAAATTTATAAAACAACACAAGATAAAATCAAGCACCCCAAAAATGATATAATCAAAAGACACAGTAAACATGAGATATATGAGGCTGCTGTATGTATGTAACACGGCAGTTTTATAGCAAACTTTTTTATAAGTATGAATAGTACACTCTATGAAAAAATTACATAAACCAACAACACTGTCATTCATCATTATCAAGTATTACGTACTGTACATAATTTTATGTGCTGAACTGGAAGTGTAGTAGGTTTACACCAGCATTACCACAAACACATGAGTAACACACTGTGGTAAGACATCACAATGGCTAAGATGTCACTAAGAGAGTTTTCACTCCTATCTTATAGAACCACCATCATGTGCAGTCTATCTGGTGACCGAAATATTATGCATTGCATGACTATCTCTTGTCTAGCAAGGGTTTTACACACAAATACTCTCCTCATGTGTAAATATACTTGTTTTCTATTCTGCTTAAAAAAAAAAAAAACTTGGCTGAGCCCATTTAATTCCAAATCCAAAGTTTGAAAAACACGAATCAAAAGAGATACAAAGGCTATTTGTATTATTATACTATGATATACAGCAGGTCCTCAAATAATAGTTTCATTTTAACAGTGATGAGATACCACAGGAACTTAACTCATTTATATCAATTAGCCTATGGTAAAATTGGTTTCATTATAAATTGTTTCACTTAAGTCACAGAACCTATCGATGACATTGAGGGTTTACTGTACATTGAAGAGGATACTCTATTTTACACTCACTTTTTTAAAGCAATCAAAGGGAAAGGATCGATATAAACCTAAAAACCTTTCTTTGGTATATTTAATACTGATTCAAAGCAAAAATAATAAATGGGGGAAGAGAGCAACACCCAGCCAGAAATTTGAATTTGTTCCTTTCAACCTCTTTAAAGGTGAAGGGATGAGACAGAAAAAGGGAAGTATGAGCCAGTTTCAGATTTTCTGTATTTGATGCTATGTTAAATGTAAATATATATACATTAGTTATCCCCAAATTCTGGTTAACCTTTCCCCCCAGAACTTTTTTATTAACTTGGTGACCATTTTTTGTGTCTGACAGCCATGGTGACTTTCTAAACTTCACTTAAAAGATATCTCTGCTTTCTAAGTGGTTATACTGCATGTAGTCTTCACTGGGGGCCTGAGTAGGTCTGCTGTGTGCATACAGACTAAACTCCCCCAGCCTGAACTGTCTTGCATAAATAAACTACTGTCACAAAGGAAGAATATAGGTGGTTTAGGAAACGTGAATTACCAAAACAAAAGGAAAAAAATGTTTTATGTGTACTTCAGAATAAAATTGATTTCCCAAGCTAAATCTCTTAAGCTCTGAAATACTGAATTATAAACACGTATATCCTTCAGTGTACTTGTTTATAATTTAATGTTTATCATTTACCAAAGATCAGGTACTTTAAGTTCTAGAGCAAGTAAGGAGGTAGTAAGGAAATAACTATAATATTATACATCCTGCTATGTAACAAATGCATTTTTCTACAGATTTGTGAAAAATATACTATGTATAAGTTATTTCAGGCTAGAGGTATCTGAAAAGAAAATATGAATTTGAGACTATATTCATAAAAGTACACAGAAAAAAAACTCAAGAAGAACAGACTTTATTTTTAACATAAAAGTTCTATTTTCTTGTGAGGCAGCAATAAGTGTTCAGATACAAGGAATACATAAGTACATAGTAACAATATTTATCACCACTGGAAATGCTGTTTTGGGGGGAGAATTTTGTTAGAAAAACAAAATTTTAAAAATTGCATTTAAAAAAGATTTACATAGCTTCAACAGAGATGAAAGGTACAGACTTTAAAAAAACAAATTATATTCTTCAACAGGATTGTATAAACAAAATATTGTTCAGGACTGCTCTGCTTATCATTAAATTAGGCAGAGTAAAACTTAAACCTTAAAGTGCGGAGTGAAGTATTCTTAGCTTAATGCAAATTCAGCACTTCCACTGATAGGATTTTGAGACATCAAAATTCCAAGCATCGAGGAATGAATCTTAAGTTTAGAATAGTAAATTCAGTAGTGGCAATTTTTCTTTTATTTCCTTTAACAAAAGAAAATCTTGATAACCCAGTCCTAATCTTGCACATACAGAAAGCTATAAATTCTGCCATTTTTTAAAACTTTCCAGTAAAAGCCAGCCATTAAAGAAAGGAGAAAAATGGCTTTCTTGTTGCCAGTTATTCCTCAGCTAGCAATAGCACCTTCTAAAAGGCTGATTTGGCTTGTCATGAGTGTAAGAAATATTTTAAACAAAATGAATCTAGATCAAAAATAATTTTGGCATCCATGCTCACCATATTAAACAAAAACACAAAGCAGTTTTAAAACATAATTGGTCATGAAAGCCATGACAAGTTAAGACTTAGTCATGATCAAAACCAGTAACTTTACATGTTATCACAAAGAAATTGTTTAAGGGTAAAAAAATAACTTAAGACTGGCAAAGTGAATAACCACAGAACAGCTCCTTTTCCTGAAATATACATGCCACCTATTTATTTTACTACAATGGAAATAAATGTATTTAAAATTAAAAATGTTTTAAATTATATTCCCATTGAAGCTATTCTAAATTTACCTTCTGTACAGTTTTCTACAGAATAACAAGATAATTATGGAATGTAATTTTAGAAAACAGTATTATGCAGTCTATTGAGACCATTTTTAAAAAAATCAAATTTGTGAACTAAGGGTTAAATAAAAAAGCTCAATGGACCTATGGTTAATATTTTTTTAAGACTGCGATAAAGCTCATATGCTTAAAAATTAGCCCTTTGGCACTGGCAGTTAGAGTTGTTTGTACCTTGTACTTTTTTTTTTTCCTTCAAATCTCAGGCTCTATTTCTCCCAAATCCAAGGATATGTTTGGTTGCCATACAATTCATTCACATTCTTATAACCAAACATCAGAAGTTCTATTTACAAGGCTATGTAAATAAATCTTAAACTTATCCTCCCATTCCGATTTTAAATTACTTTAGAATAAGGATATATGAAACTCTACAAAAAAATATGAATTAGACAAACATGCACAACAGAGTAAAAGGAAAAATTGTTAATAAAGTGGCATTCTAGTTGTAAAATACCCTTGTGACTTGTGGGAATGGAGACAGAAAAAAGCGTAAGGCAAAGAACACAGATTTAACAGAACTCAGGTAATTCAAAGACCGAGGAGTTTTTTTAACCTTGTTTTTAACTTCCTCTTCCTACCATTCAAATCAACTCACCTGATTTTTTTTTTTTTTTTTGCCTTTTTTCATCTTACTTATTTCACTTAGTATAATACCCTTAAAATGCATTCATGTCGTTGCAAATAATAATATTTCATCTTTTTTATGGCTGAGTAGTATTCCATTGTAGATATACCACAGTCGACACTTAAGTTTTTTTTTTTTTTTTGCCTTTTCTTCTGTATTTCTGACAGAGCAGTTCTCAGGGTGAAACGGTAAAGTCAAAGGCATAACAAAGGCAAAAAAAGCAGGGTTCTAAGAAACCAACCAGAAAATTTACATCCTGAATAACTGAGCTTTTACTGATTTAGAAGCCACAATGTACTAATTCCAAGTAAATTCGTTTTGGATGAAAAGGTACCATAATTCATTGGTCCCGGCAATTGAAACCTGACAGACTTATTCATGTTTGAGTTTATCTACCTTGCCTAACTATATCTCCATTTTAAACTTAACAGGGCATACTTTTGGTGACTTAGATGTTTTGAAAGTGCGTCAATATAAGAAGTCTTTTCAGAAGATTTACTGCCACCACTAGGTTTCCTGTGATGGGATATATCTGGATAAACTGACATTATTAACCTTCTAAACCATATCCCTTTTACAAGTATTTAATTTTTGTTCTCCCTTTAATATGTATAAGAACATTAAATTATTGCATCATAAGGTAGTATATGAAAACCTTAGAAAGATGCATTTTATCAACAGTCTGCTGAAACTCGTTTTTAAAAAGAGCTGCTCCTTAATTTCACTATCACATACCCAGACATGAAATACTGTTGTCATGTGATATTGGCAGTGATTGTACTAGAATAAGCCTAAATCCTGTATGGATTTTTCAAAGGTTCCTGTTGTTTGTGCTCCAAAGCTCTCCTTGCCTATTTTCCCTACTGTGTGAAATGTTGGAGGGACAACTAGCAAAATCTGTAGGCAACAACATATCTCAGTGCCAACCACCATAAAGAAAAGGTCAGTCGCAAGATTCTGTGACTACGGATTGCTATTCAATGGATTACACTCCTGGCAAACTACTACCCCTGACCAAATCCACAAGACAACGACATCACAAAAGCAAAGAAGGAAATCCATGCAGTCATTTTAGGATCTCTTGGGACTATGATACAGTGATGATTAAAGGTAGAATGACACCTGTGGTAAAGGGAGATCATGTGATAAATATTGTGCAGAAAACCAGAGGCTCCTTACTCCTAGCTGGCAATCAACACTGGGTAGCTTCTTTTTGGCTGACTTTTAAACCAACTTCCAATGATGGGTGAGAATATATTAAGCATTTGTCTCCAGACTATAATTTTTCTGACCACATGGTGAAATGTGTACGGGAGTAGTGAAGAAAACAGCATTTTTACAAGTATTCCACCCAAAGCACAAACTTCTGACATCAAAAAACGTAAATCACATAATGTGCTAATATTGCTTTTTGTCTTTTTTTGTATATACTTGTTCAATGCGTTTACCTACCATTTCTTGTTTGGGAGAAGAACATGGTCATGAGGTTAAGACTGCTGGGAAATGCCAACAACCCCTTTGGTCCCAAAGCTGAAAACAGCTGAGAAAAGCACATATCTAGAAAGGGAAACAAGAAACAGAAGCCACCAAAGAATCTTTTAAACATCCTGTTTGCTATGTTTCAGAAAATGTAACATTGGTATTATAAAATAGTCATTTTCATATAAAAGATGGTTCTTGCAGCATCATTCATGTCTCTAGGAATCATGTTTGCAGGGATCAGGTTTTTATTTTTGTTTCTAAAAGTTTAATTTGAAAACAAAAAACAATGAGATATCAGCCCTCCAAAAGTAAAGAATGAGACCTTTCTTGTTTCAACCAGTGCTTGAGGAAAAGGCAGGCTAAGCACAGAGGGCTGGCCTCCATGAGTGAGCAAAGCCATCAGAGAGGCTGCTTTCTTTCCGCACATGTACTGTGACGTGTCACTGTGAAAAGGTGGAGCACGTCACAGCGAGTGGGAGCGCATGATGCCATCCATCAGAGTCACGTGATTCAAGGAGGTTCTCAGTTGCCCAGAACACAATGGCTATGCAGCACTGGGACCTATCCCTCAGCTTCTTCGATTGGTTCTGGTGGTGTGAGTAGAGAGGCTGATGGCATGACTGTACTTGTTCCTCGAGAGACTCTGTCTTGCTCTGTGTTTGTAGACAGGGAGGCCACAGCGATGGGCTGCAGTAGAGTGGTTGTCATGCCAGTGGTGACTGTCAGACTGTGGCCAGAGCCCTTGAGAGTAAGATCTGGTGTGGGAAGGAGTGGCTTGAGGATGCTGACGAGGCAGAAAGCAGAGCCGCTTTTAGGAATGAAATTCACCTTGTTTTTGTCAGGACAGTAAAAGGCTGGGATTTCATGAAGCTGTTTTGGCCTAGACGTAGAACAGACAACCCAATACTTTTAAGTCACCAAACACTGGAAGTAAGTTCTTTTATTATTATTTTTTACACATAAAAGGAGTACAAAATTCAAGCTATGTCAAAAGCTTCAAATACTATGAACCAAAGTAGAATTACAACACATGATTCAAAATATGTATTTTAGAATGCTGGAAGGACACCATCATTGCTGCTTTCAGTTCCCTGGCAAGCCCTGTGCACGACACAGGTAGCTCAGGCTGATGACCACTGTATCCCAATGAAGATCTAAGATAGCCAATATGAACAAAGAATTTCCTAAAGCAAAAGAAATTCTAGATGTTTAAAGACAAAATATGTTCCATTACCATGATTTTCCAAAGTCTGTAGTACTTTGAAGGAAAAAAGCAAAGAAATTAATGACATACAATGTCCATCTTTTGCTAAGTTCCACCACTGCATGACTAAACTTTGGTAGGCCTAAGTTTCTCTTCATGTGCACTTAAAAATTTCTGAAACAATTCTTTGAGTTAACCATGATGGTTTTCTGAGTAATGTAATGGAAATGTGAAACCAAAATAAAACTAATGGCAGTCCTTTGCTCTGAAACTTCTACTGAAGTCAAATCCTTCCCTGTCCCCTGATGCTCCTGAAAATTAATGGGTCCAAGTTACTTATAATGGGAAAGAATGAGGAAGAGAGGGAGAAAGAATGGGTCATGCTATATGTTTAAAAACACCTCTATACTGCAAAGAGGCCAGAATATCTGGGAATCAAAGATAACTAAGGTTAAGGAGTTCTTTAGTTGGGATCAGGAAACAGCATATTTGACTTCATTAAAAAGGATTTACTAAGTGCAGGTGGCATGGCTATGGTCTGTGTCTATCAAAAAGAATATAGAGTCAGAAAGACGTGTAAAATCTGGTTTGCGCTTTCTGGGTCCAAATCCAACTACCTATTTTCTTTCAGGTAAATAAACACATATTTCTAGAAATAAGAAATCAATTCTCAACCCACTCAAAACTCTAGTTCAAGTCAGAGTTACTACCTCAAACCAAAACTAAGACTTAGAAAAGTATTCTTTAAACAATGATTAAATAAGCTAAAAATTTTAAATTAGGACCAATAATCTACCTTTGCTTTAATGCCAGTGAGTCCAGTGGGTTTTGCTCTAATTTTGACATAGCTAGAGCAAAAAGAGATTAATTTTTTTAGACTTTAATATGTTTTATTGATAAAAGGTAAAAATTACCTTTAAGAAATTTACTCGGGTTACTGCTCTTAATTCATTTTTGGAATATAATGAAAAATTTTAAAAATGAATAGGATTTTGTATGCTATATATCCTTTATATCAGTAAAATTTATAATAAACCATGTATATATTTAAAAGGAACAGGTTTACCTTCTAACAACAGATAAGATGTGCCATAAAATATGTTAGGGTTTACCTTCTTTTATCTGTCTACCCGTCCATACATACATGGCTCAGATATTGAGTCTTGAGAAAATTTCCAAATGCAATAGTCTAAGGCAGATACCACAGGACACCAACCTACACAACAAATACTCAAACTCATTTATAGAAGAAATTCAAATTGCTTTTGAGCCAACCATTTCTCTGCACTTAGGCAAATGTTAACTACCAATGAGCGAATCAAAGAGCTCAACTCCAGAAAGGTCCATTTGGACCATTTAATTTTTACTTAATAGAATGACTCTATTAAGAACTCTCATGAAAAAGTCTAAGCCAGCATTTTCAAATTAAGCATAAAACTTATATGAAGTATTTGTTAAAGATGCATATTCCTGGTTCTACCTCTATATTTACCCTTGGGGCCTAGGAATCTGCAGTTTCAACTAATATTTCAGATGATTAAGATGCAAGGAGTCCAAGAAACAGTTCTGGAGAAATACTGCTTAACATTCAGCTGGCACCAGTCAAGTTTTTAGACTGACATGGTTGAAAAAAAACAAAAAACGCAGTCACTAAAACAGACTTTTCAATTACCATCACAAAAGCAGATAGGAGAGAGACAGCTGGGATTTCCTAGAAGTACAAAGGATTCAAAAACAAAGCTCTTTGTGCAGCAAAAGTATTCTGAATTTACGTTAAAGGAAATACTGATAGAAAGGGGTACATAGAGGAACAACAGGATGCCATGTTTCAAAATTATTCCAAGATGTTTATAATAAAGAAAAAGAAGTTATTTGAATGGGACAAGGTTGGACAATATCCACCTTGCATCTTAGGTTTCATAGTGAAAAAAGGCCAGAACAGTGGCTCTTAGACTTACAGTCATAGCGAGATTGGAAGGTGAGGGCTAAGTGCTTTCATCATATCCCCAAATAATGTTTATCACCTAATTTACATAGTCTCATACATACAACACTGTAGCCATAGCTTATAAAGCAAGAAACCACTACTACTGAAAACACATGGCTGCAATATTTTCTAAGCCAAGTGAGTCTAAAATTGGAGTACTTGACTAGAGTACCAGCCAAGAGAGGTATATGAGCATAGGAGATCACACACCAGGGGTACCAGACACTGTTTAAGATTCTGCTTCTTATACTATCTTCATTATAGTAACATGATTCTGCAAAGTAATAGAATTGTTTCCTATATTGGCAGACAAAATATTTTTAAAAACTACTGACAGAACTAGAGACCAAAAATAGATAAAACCTGAAAGGAATTTGATAATTGAAAGAAGGAAACCACACTGACTGAGATCTGTGATCTATCCTGAATAAATATACTGCTAAATTCAATGTGATGTTGAATTTAGCAGTATATTTAGCAGGTTCAGAAACAACAGCCACAGATGATATGTTGGAAACAACTGAGGAAATGTGAGTAACAAATGGATATTAGTTGATATCTAAGCATTACTATTAATTTTCTTTGATGTGATAATGGTATTGTAGTAGTGGAAGAGTACAGTGGTTACTTTTAGGAAACAAATATTATATTGTATTTAAGGTTAAGTGTCATGATGTCTGCCAACTTACTTTCAAACAGTTCGGCAAACATGGCAAAATGTTAACTATAGAATCTAGGTGGTGGTCATATGGGTAATCACTATACTATTCTTCGACTTATATGAAAATTCTCATAAAAGAGAGGTTTTTATGCGAGGGAAGGGGATACTTACGAGCATTCCTCAAACACTTTGACTCTTTCACAGCCCTCAGGAGGTTCCCTTTTGAACATGTAACTGTTGTTAGGTTTTGGTGAAGTTGCATATTTGGGCAAGGGAGAGTTGTTCCCATTCTCTGCAATAAATGACATACTGCGTCATTAAGAAATACAACACAAATGCATAGTCATTCTGTATTTAACTGTTTTTGGCCTTCCGCCATACCATGAACTACTTGAGGATACAAACAGTGTTTTATTCATCAACATCTAACAATTCCTGGTAAAGAGGAGATAATTAACGTTTGTTAAATAAATGCATAAACAAATAAAAGATTTTTATTTCTTCTCTATTTACAATTACCACAGCTTAGGCCTGTATCACTTAATCCTCAGTAATGAATAATGACTTACCTCACTCACAGATTTATTTCTAGACCATGCACAGCAAACAAATTCAAATGTCACTTCCATTTTTCCCAATATAAGTAACTGAAATGGTTCACTAGTTGCTTACCATGCACTTTTGGCATACCCTTCAGAATTTCTCAATTTGATTTCTCTGCTCCTCCAGTTTTAATCTCTACTCCAGGTAGTTGTAGCTATGTGTAACTGTACACCAAAGATTTCCTTTTGCCTAAGAACTCCACACCTAAGAGATCTCTCTCTGTTGATTTTCCAAAATTGCCTTCAAAGTCTAGCTCAAAGTTTCTGAAATTTTTCCAAATTAACCCTATCAAAGGGAATATTCCTTTACTCTGGTATTCTTGTTCAGTGCTGATGTCTTCAGTTTATACTATGTTAACTTAAAATTTTTGATATGTTACATAAGAGTTCTAAATTTTCAGTCTGTGTCGGCTAAGCTACAAATTCCTTGCTGACAGTAGCATTGTGGGCCCTGTTTTCTTATAAAAGAAATTCAGAGAAGCTAACCAGTCACTCATCTCCTAAAATCAAATACAGCAGGACACAAAATTTGTGGAGTTCCTACATGCTACTGAAGTAAAACTGGAAAATATGGGAAATCAAGGGACAGATTTTGTAGTTATGTTTTTTAAAATTTTGGGAGGTACATCTGATTGAGCACTAAATACCGGGAGATGTGCTAAAGGTTTGGATTCACTACCCCCTTTTAATCCTCACAATAAGTGTAAGTAGTAATTATGCAGATTCCTGACAAGAAACGCAAGGATTTAACTGAATGTCAAACTGTGTGCACAGTGGAATCATCAGAAACTCCTCATGAGAACATCAGAAACTCCTCATGCCTATGTCCCACTCCTAGGGGTTGTGATTTAATTGGTTTTGGGTGTTGCCCTGGAATAACCATGTTTTATTTAACCTAGAAGCTGGCAAAAAAAAAAGAGGGGGGCCAAATAATATTTTATAATAACCCACAGTTTGAAGTGACTTCTTCAGAAACTGTATATTTTAACAGTCTCAATAATTTAGTAGTAATGGCCAGCTGCAACAATGGAACATTTTAGGATGTTCCGTACACTGTGAGTAGGAGATCCTAAGTAAATGACTACTAAACTGAGCTGTAGAAAAATTAAATTTAAAAAAAAAAAATCTTCCTATTGCTCTTAAGCACATGCAGTAACTAGGATAAGGCTAACAAATATTGCCCTGATACAGACAGATGAAAGGTCCTATTTGCTTATGTCTCCAAGATATTTAAGTTGCATTAGTAGCCCTTTAACCTTTTATTCCAGGATTGCATTCATATAAATTTTGCATTCATATAAATCAGCTTAATTCTTGTTAGAAATTCCACAAATATACATCCTAAAAAACACTAAGTTGAAGGTTTCACATTTAATTAAAAAGTACTAAGGTAGTAAAAACATGACAACTAAGGTGAGAGAGAACAAAGTGCTTTTCAGGACAAATGTTCATCTCATTTATACCAAAAGAAACATTTCATGTTTCTCACTAATAAGGAACCTGTATTAGCAAGAGTAGAGAGAAAAAAAAAAAGGTACAAATAAAAGGCCTACTGTTTTGTACTCCAATTTAAAATGTTTTGAAATATCTCCAAATCATTACCTTGGTAGTCTTAAGTATGTGTGTTCTGACAGAAAATGAACAGAATGATGGATGAAATAAGTGGTATTCCCTTATCATCTGGTAACAAAATTCTCCTGCACTGTACCTTTGTCCCTGGGATCGATGAGCAGGTCATCAGCCGAACAAGGACTCTCCTCGCTACCTTCGTTGGAGATGGTGAGGAATGACGTGGGGGACACAGACTGAGAGCGGCTGCTGTTGTTGCTTCCCCGGTCTGCCCCACCGGGGGTCTGCGTGTCAATGCTCCGTGTGCTGCTACTTCTCTGCACGAGGGGGGGAGGTGCACGATGGCCATCTGGAATATCTTGTGGCTGTTAAAAAATTTTTAAACATATGTATATTTGTCACTAATTTTGAAATTCATCCAGAAATGAACCCAATTTGAACTTTCCCTTTTGTTCCTTCCAGAAGACTCATAAATCAGAATCTCCCTACTTATCAAGCCTAACAAGACAGAAGCCTTTGTGTTGCTTCACTAGACACTGAGCAGCATGGACAAAGACACTGTATTTCCGGGCTATGGCACGTGATAGGTGGTCAGTTCTTGCTGAATGATGAATTGCACTGAATTACCTATCATGTTATAAATATTATTTTTAAAATTATAAAGAAGGGCCATGGTAAAAGAGGAAAAATCAAGGTATTAGCACTAGGTTCTGTAGTGGGTCCACTGGGGGACCTAGTGATACTTGATATCAGGCCCTTTGATCTTCTCCCCCTGCCTGAAAGAGTTTTTCAAAGAAACCTTCCTACATGATGGAACGGTTAATCACAACAGTTCTAATTATAGGGAGGAATCAAGGAGAACATTCCAAAAAAGCTTGTGTGGCTCATTTAGCAAGGAAACCCGCTCGCTGTTCGACTGTGGCTCATTTACCTTTATTATATCAGGGAAAGCTTCTCCCATCATGCAGTATGGAGGAGAGGGTATGGGGAATTGTGTTTTCTTTAATTAAACCAATCTTTAATCTTAAGGGAGAGGACCTTAAACATCAATAAAATACTACTTCAAATTCCTCAATTCTTCTTTCACTGAAGAATGAAGCTTAAATATATTGTGACATGGCTTTAAATATGAACAGGAAATTTTCTCACTATGTCTTACATGTCATTCTTATGTAACATTACATTTAGAATAGTGCACATTCTTATGTGCATTATAGGTAAGCAGAACTTCATGATGAGACAGTTAACCAAATAGTAACTGACAAACAATAAGATACAGGTAGATTCATGCTTAGAAAGTATTTGATGTCATATCCTTCCCTCCCCAACAAATTAGTAAGCTAAATTTTTATTAGAGTTTAACAATTATAACATCTGTCTCATGATTTTTAAATACAGATAAACAAAAAATAGTTTTTGTTCAAGAATCCAAATTTAGGTCACATCAGTTGTCTCTATAGATGCAAAGAAATGAAAATTTTTCATTCACTTGCCAAAGTCAAAGTCTTTCGAAAGAGAAAATTTCATTTTCTCTCAATGAGAAGAAATCTAAGCAAATATGGAAAACAAAATTGTGAATTTTTTAATAATTAGAAGCATTATGATTTTAAGATATGAGATTACTTACTATAAGTTGTTCTTCTTTTTCCCCAGTCTCTTTAATTATTATTTCAATTTCCTGATTTAATCCTTCCACACTATTCCGAAACCGGGAGCCTGTTGATTTGGTGATGGGAATTACTGGAATAAGTACACTCTTTGGAACAGGAGCCTTGAGAAAAAGTAGTAGAGGGGGAAGAAGAGAGTTTTAATATTACCTTTTAATTTTCTAAATTGAAAAATACTTCCAGTTGACAAAAGTAACTCTAAAAGAAATCAAAATAAAGTTTATAGGCCTCACAAAAAGTGTGAGTAACCAAATCTCCTCCTCGGTGTACGTGAAACATAATTTAAGGCCAAAACGACATACAATGCAAAATATACATGACTTACTGTTGAATTGTATACTTGAAACTTCCTGGATTTCGTTAACCAATGTCACCATAATAAAAAAATAATAATAAAAAAAGCAAAAATAAATTTTAAAAAATAAAGCCAAAATGCCAGATAATGAAGGTTCACTTTCAGAAGTTTATTCGCATCTATGAGGGACTATAAAGGGAATAGGGATAAAGGAAAATACTAAAAGAATGTCAATCTCAGAAATTCTTTTATGATTGTAACAGAGTTCAGATTTCAGAACATAACTTTAGTCTTCTGATGCCACAATTAACTACAATCGAGAAAAGAAACAAACAAAAAATGATTTTAAAAAAAAAAAACAGGAAAAATATCTTGACTGGAAAAATAAAATCACTTCCAAAATCCATAAATAGCAGCAAGATTGAAATGAGAGTTAAGTTCCTTATAAAATTTATTTATACTTTCATTGTAATAATTTTAATGTTTTGTTCAGGAAATAAAATGATACAATTCATTTTCGTTTTCCAAAACCTGTCCCTTAATTTTTTAAAAATACTTTTTTTTCACTGATGCAGTTGTCACTTTTGAAAAGAGATAACTGATTATATAATTACAGGAAATTACTTGGTTTCCTAACAAAATACTTAAAATATGAAACAAGAATTGCAGAGGTATCTGTCCAAAGCTCAAAGCACCCAGGTGCCAAAAGATCATCTTGTATATACAATACAGTCCTGCTGTCTGGTGAAGAAATGTGATTAATCCATCCTTCATTTAGGGAGGTTTGTTTGGAAAACCTCTCTTTCAGGGTAAAGTGGGCAAGGAGACAAAGGTAACAGGGCCTCTAATCAATTATCACTAATTTCATTCAATGGATAACCTTGTCTGATATAAAACTTAGTGTTAAACCTGTATTTCTCCTTTTATTCCTGCTCACCTGATTCAGTGATTCCAAGAACTTAAATATGGCCATAAAAACTTTACTCTGAGAAACTACTTTTAACTGGCATTGTTTTCTTATTGCAAAAGTAACAAATATTTACTGAGAAGAAAAATACATGGGATTCAGTCACCCAGAGATAATAATTGTTACTAATTTAATAAATATCTTTCTATCTAGCCCTTTTTCCTCTGTGCATATAAACTTTTAAACCAAAAACAGATTGTAACTTGTGTTCTATAAATATTTCCTGTATTTCTAACATCTTTCTATGCTTGTCTTTTAGATGTCCTATTCTTCACTCCTTCCATCTTACTGCTACAAAACAAGTAACCCTTCACAAGCCCCATCAGCAATTCAACTGGTTCATCCTGTGTTAGCACGGGTAGTAAGATGGGACAAGAGGAAGGCAAACAGTAAGGGCCACCACTCCATTCCATTCTAATAACTTGCATTCTCTACTCTCCGCCCTATTCTCATTCCAAGGTCCTCACTTTCCTACTTTTAACTTAGTGAAGTAATGCCCAAGAGTGTCCTGGAAACTGGCTATTTCTCATCAGTCTTTTGTTAAGAACTGTCACTAACACCTTGAAGAAACTTTTTCACCTATTCTGTTACCCTTGCAACAAAGTAAAATCTCAATGCATAATCTAACAAAGGCTTTTATTTCTTTATTAAGATTTGATCATCACTTTATGTATCTGTTGTTTTGTATTACTTACATCATCAGAAATAGGGACAATTCGCTCAAATTTCAGAAGCAGGAAATAAATATCAAAACATCATCACTGGCTCTCAATACAAAACCTCTACCCCACCCAATCCTTCCTCCTTGTTCCACCCCTTAGCATCCTCTGGAGCCACCACTGTTGCCATCCCCCACACATACCACACGAGAAGTGTCACACGGTCCTTCCTAAGGCTGGCTGAGAAGCAGGAGTTAAACAGGACAAAGACCGCACTGCAAATCTATCCCCACATTCTTTCATACCACAAACATTCAAGAATCTGGTCTTTCAACAGGAGTAATAAATAGCTTTTTAGAAAAAAATACTTAAAAATTCTTTTAAGGATTTAAAAAATTCTTAAACTGGTCCTCTTCTTAAAGTGGAGCAGTCACAGATGCACAAAGCCTATCAAACAGAGGTGAAGGTGGCCCAGGAGGAGAGACCTGGAGAGGCAGGAGTCCTCCAGGCCTGTGCATGCCAGGACTGGAGGAGCTGGTGGGTGGTCACGACACCATGTAACAAAGGCTTTTACAACTCTCAAATTAGGTATGTATTTGCTTCAAGGATAAGACAGTGGAAGAGGGCAGCTAAGACTATACTTCGGTTCATGATAGGTCAAGGAAGGAAAACCACCTTTCTCAAGGTAGTAGCAATACAAAATAAAAAAGGAAATAGGTGACAGGAAACTGATTCAGACTAGAGCAGCTAAGGGTTAAAAGAAATCTATGGCTCACTTATCTGGAGTGGAGTACATATTAGAACATTTCTATCATGCAGTCATCCTCTGTATCTAGACTCTTCCTGTGTCAGAAAATGAGGTAACAGAGAACTGGTACAAATTTTAAAAAACCTCAGGAGTTATTAGTACATATACTACAAATAGTATTTTTTTCAGAGTGAAAGGTATTCAATTCCAAACTTTATTTTCTCTTCTAAATATCACCAAAAATCCCCACAAATAATAGCTTGCAGTAGATGCTATTTTTAGGCTGCTTTCAGGTAATGTGTTTGGTTTATAACTATTAAGTTACAGAAATGAAGGACGAGACTAGAAGGGGAAGATGATCTGTCAAAAGTTTTTACAAAATAATGACCTTATTAGATTTCAGAACCATAAATATCTCTCAGTAAGCTTGCTTATGAACAGAAAGTTTAAGTTTTCTGGCTGTCATGTTGAGAAATGCACATAAACAGGAAGCCGTTTAATAACTGTATATCTGATTACTGCCTTTCAAGGTAGCTAAAGAAGTCATACCCTACACATCTGGTAAGAAGTTTTTCTCAAATATAATCTAAACAGCATCAAGTATTTATCAATAGTTTAGTCTATTTAAAGCAAAGGGGAGAAAAGCAAAGAAGAAAGAAAATGGCCACTTCCCTAAGGACAACGTATCATTTTAGGTAAGTGATAAAAGTTCAACTAAAATTAATTTAACTAGCAAATAGTTATATTAGAAGAAAAAAAATCCACTCAAGAGCGGAAGTATCTATTCTCCTGAAGAAAGATTTTCTTCAATAAATATACTGTTATTCTTTTAGAAATAGAAGGTAATAGGCCTTTGATTTCACTCCTTATATAAACTATAATCTAAAGTATCTATACATAACGAACATGGTTATACTTAAACTTTTATGTTTCATTTCAAGGGCTCTTAAAGAATTTTATGTGTGTGTGTGTAAAATTTATTTTTCCCATATCTGTACACGTTTCTGTAATAAAATTTCTATTTCTACATATAATCAGTATATACAAATATAAGTGGGCTATCATATTAAATTGTGTGAGATCATTTTAAGACAGTTCTCTAAGATTAAAAGTTCTTCATTGTACTAAGGTAAAATCTATCTCTCCTAAGATCTGTCCTTTGGAAACATCAAGAACAAGGATCTCCTATTTTCTTAGCTTTTGATTCTTTCTCTTCAAATAAGAGTGTTTTCTAGTCAATTAGATTTTTAGTTAGGTGAATCACCATTTTAAAGTTTTATTTTTCTATTTATATTCTCCATATATCTATTATATGTTAAAGATCAAATTCTACATAACAATTGAGAATTAGCCAACACAGAACACCAAAGAAGATTTGGCCAACACTAAATCTTCTAAGATCAGTCTACGTTGTAACTTAAAACACCTGTTTCAAAGTGTGGGAAGACAAAAGAGTCTGGAAAGATGGGGGAAATGCCTATTAAAGCAGTGGATGAGTGGGGAAAAGATACTGAACTAAATATTCAAAGGAAGAAAAATATGCCTTGATAGATAAGATGGGGAAAAGTCCATTCAGGAATTCAACAGAGATTTATGAGAGAAGTATGAGCCAGAAACCCTAAAAACAAAAGGGAGGTAAAAACTGATGTTTAGAATTAAAATATATAAATATTAGAAAGCACTGGAAAAAGAGCTTTCCTATAGTTGATCTGAAGCCTCCACATGGCCTTGATTCTTTCTGTCCTCTGGCAATCAATGTCCTCTCATCTGGTACTCACCTCTTAGCTCTTCCCACTCCCCAACCCCCACATCCCCCACAGAAGTCTCACTGTTTATTACTGAGAACACTTCTGTGACACTTAAGGGGGTTAAGCTTATTTCTGCTTAAAAGTGACAAATGAGGTTTCTTTTTTAGTCTCAGTAGGTAGATAAGTTCATTGAGTTAACACTGTTAATAAGACATATTTTAATAGAAAAACAAATGACTGATGTTTTATACATTATTATTTTCTTCAGAAAATCTAAAGCAAGAGATCACTTCATATTTTCATAATAGTTCAACGCTGCAAATTGAAAACAACCATAGAAAACAGCATGAGGTCGATTTCCACTTGACTGTAGAATTCAAGACTTCTCAGATGTCAATAGAGCCAAAAGTGGTAGACAAAACTTTGCAGATTGCTCGTGTTTGCTCCAGGCTGCAGCACTGATAAACTCACGGGCTTTATTCTTCATTGCTTGCATCTGTGGTCTTCAGAGCCAATAAGCTTTTTCCTGCCCTCAGACCATCATTGTAACACGCCATCCAGATGATTAAATACAGAGCATGCCTGTGTAAAACGTCATACTGATCTGATGTTGATACTTTTAGACCATACTTGGAAACTCCCATAATAAGTTCTTCCTCCAGAGGAACAAAAGGCAACTTTCCATCT